CTTCCTGAATTATAGGAATGGAAACTTTCTGTTAAATTCAAACACTCGCAGTCCAGGGAAGTTGAGGCGGGAGTAGCAGTCATGAGGAGGTGAGTTGATTACATGTGTGGTAGAGGTAGAGAACCACGTCATGAACACAAAATTTTAGAGGCTGTTGAATGATCCTGCAGAAACCAGCCCTTAGGAAGGCTTTCCAGGTGCTAGGATTGACCTGACTCCAGAATTGAACTCTCCTGGTTTTTGTACAATGTTAAGTGCCCTCTTACCACGACTGAGTATTAGCAAGAATGGAGGTTGTTTATTGCAATTTCTTGTCAGGGAGAAGACTCCCTCAAGAGTGATCTGAAGTAATGAATAAAGTCACTCTGAAGTCCAATGAGGTGCTCTGCTAAGCTGGCCATTATTTGGTTGTCATAGTTGTAGTCATTGGGATTATTATCCTGAAACACTGAGAACACCATGTTTCCATTCCTGTGAGAAAAAAATATGGAAAACATAGAGGAATGTCTTCCCTCCTTTAGATCTTTGACATTGTTGTGAAAGATGACTTCCAAAAGAAGAAGAAAGTAAGTTCCGCAGATCTTGCAGCAAACTTGCAGTTCTCTGTAAATGCTGATGTGTAGAAAAGACCAGAAATCTGTTCCTAACACAGAAATAAATTTGACCAATATGTGGAGTTTTAATATAGCACAATTTAAACTTGAATTATAGAAGGGTAAATGGCAAGGTATGTTTTTAAAAAATATATTTTATCTTAAACTCATTTTTATGTTCTTTACCATCATCTGCTTTTCCAGTGGTTTTGCGTTTGAGTATTTAATATAAACCTTTGTGTAATTATTTTGATCTCTATTTCACAAACATAAAGAGAGGAAAATGAAAAGTGCACATAGAGTATTATTACAGTGTTTGGAAAAACGTGGGGTTTTTTTTGCAATTAGTTGAAATAATAGAACCTGAAGGAGAATATTGTTATCTCTGCATTGTATAATATATCAAATATAGGTGTGATTAATGATCTAATCCAGTGATTAAATTAAGAAATCCCATTTCTGTCTCTTGCCAGTAATTAATATGTTGTAAACACTGAAGGCAATTACTGTATTTAAAAATGAGGACTGAAAATTTAAAATATTTTTTCTTAGCGTGTGGATGGAGATAAATAAAATGAAATGCTTGCATTAAAAAAAATAGTGTGAAATGAATTTTTCTACTTTAAATAAGTATTTTGGTGGGATTATGAGATATGAACCCAGTTGTATTACTGAGGAGGATGGGGTGGCAGATGAAGCACAGTTCTGCTCTGTCTTTGGGTCACCTTATTTTGGCACCCTTAGCCATGCACTAAGTGATGCTGCAAGCAAGAGCTGTGCAGTTTAAATGTGTAAAGTGGTGCCCATTTTGTTCCTGAATTCTAATATCGGATTTCCTACTGTATTTTAAATGCCTTCATGTAAATTACTGCCCTTTGCAGGTCTGCTGATCAAAAATAAACACAAATAAAGATTATTTCATGGGTTTAATGCCTAGGAGACTTTATTCACTTCTTACTATTCACTTCTTACTTCTTGTTTAAGTATTTACCCAGTTCTTTAATTTGCTATTAGCTTTATACATTTTGTCTGCCTTGACTTCCAGAAGTGAAGAACAGCACAAAAATTCTTCATTCCTGTGACCAGCTGACCTAACTGAAGTTATTCTGGGAAAGAGACTGCTCCTTCCCTTTCCTACGGTCTGTAAAACAGGCTTGTTGTGGATGTGGCATGTAGCAAGCCACCAAATGCTAATATTGGTGGGCTGCTTAACACCACATTCCCTACTGTTCTCTGAGCTAGATCTCTAATTGCTGACCACAAACACTAGGCAAGATGATTATTAGAGGAGAAACTGAAGACTTTTACCACTGATGAATCATAAATCTCAAACACTTTTTCTTTTAGAGAAAAAGACATCGAGGCTACTGCTTATCTTGAAGGTCTGGGTGACACAGTGAGGAAGAACGTGAGGATAATCATATGGGAACAACAGAAATGGTGGTGGTTCCTAAACATCTGATAGGAGACAGTGGAACAAAGGACAGGGCTGATACAACTGCCATTTCATCACAGCATGCCCAAATCAAACAGCATCGTTTCCTGGGAGATCGAACAATGCTGCGTGCCTATTAATCATGAGAGAAGCTCTCTGCTGCTCTCACAAGTCCTCCAAAACCTGCCTAACTCAAGTGGGCGAGGATCAGCCCACCCATGACAAACTGCTGCGGCTTTGTCCTACATACTGTATATTATCAAAAATGTTATGTCTGCTCTGAACAAAATGTCCAAGTGTGATAAATGTGGGCAATACTTCAAGAAAGTGGGCTTGTCTTCATGAGAAAATTGTACCAACTTTAAGTTGGGTTAATTTATTTTAATTAGGCTAATCTACAGACCTTCCTGAGACAATCTTTTTTTTGTAAATATTGCTGTCACGCTCACTGAAATAAATGTTTTGTGCAGATTACTGTGCTTCTAAATTGGTCAGAAATCACATCAAATTTGCAGTGACTTTCTCGAGTAGCTATGGTTATATGCTCTGGTCTTCTTTACATTGAACTCTTAGTTCCCTCTGTTTATTTTACAAATGTAGGTGCTTTAAGAAGGTTTTCAGTGAAGCAGCAGGCATTTTCTTCCCCCACAAAGAGAGCCTCTATTTCTGAAGATTAGAGAAAGCTTTGTGTAGTCCTGACTATGGAATGTACAGCCAAACTCTTCTCAAACTGCATGTGGTAGTCCTCACTGCTGGAATTAATCTAAGTTTGATATAGTACAAGTCAGAGTTAATGATACAGCTCTTTTTATTATTGAAAATCTTGGTAGAACAATACTAATGGAAATTTCACTCTACTTTTGTGAAGTGCAATATTCCAGCAGAAGGCAAAACTATCAGATATACATTTTTTTTTCTTACATATCCAAGGAAAGAATGAATGTTTACTCGGTAAGTAAGCTTTTCGTTGAAGAAATACAAGCATCAAATAATTTAGAATCACTAAAAATCTGTTTACTTTGTGCTTATTCTCTGATATTATGCTTGACTGTCAGTCATCTGTGTTTTATTGTGTTTTACTATTTGAACTTCATTATGAGATGAAAAACTTGAAGGCACTTTTAAAATGTAAGCTAGGTTAGAAAAAGCACTGTTCAGGATGTCACAAGAGTAGTTTAAAAGAAGCTTCTTACTGTGACATTCATGTCTAACATCAATATGCTGGGGCAAGTATAATAGTAACAAGAATAACAGTAGTTGTTAAAAAAGTCTGATTCCCAGGGAAGGGGAGAAGCATGAAAGCAGAGTTATTTTAATGACCCAGCAAGAAAGTTCTGCCACCAAAATCCTTATTACTTGTTTATGTAGTCTTGTGTAAACGCAAAATATTTTGTTTATTTAAAAGATGCAATGTATATTTTATGTTGTTTCTTCCAATTATGCATGCCAAATATATTTTACCTTACAGAAATCTTTGAGGCAATTATTCGAGAATTTGGCAAGAAGTAACTTAATGACCACTAAGTAGTCCTTCAAACAAGAAGTCGCTCTTTCATCTGTGAAAAGTAAACCTAAAACTGTAAGTAAGGTTAGGTAAGAGAGAAAAAGAGTAGGCTAAGCATCAAACTAGTTCAACTTTTACAATAGTGGGAAGCAGCTCAGGAATTACAACCCATTTATCATTATTTCCAGCTACTCTACATTCCTTTTTAGCTTAGGCAGATATTACAATGTGTATGACATATCCTAGGATTATTTTTACAATCATCATACTGTTTATATCTGAAAATATATCAGATCCCCCCTTTACCATACCACTTCTTGAGTTAAACTTACCGAAGTCTCTTTTTTTAAGGAAAGAAAGGACTGCTAGACCAGAATATCCTAAAGCAACTGGCAAGGAATTTGTTCAGGACCAAGCAAAAGCAGTACCCCAAAAATAACTACAATTTGGTATGTTGGAAGCGTAACCTTCCCCAGAGCTGATCTGTTTCTGATTTCACTGAAATTAAAGGCTGTCTTCTGTTCAGTTTTTGTAGCAGAGGATTTAGACTCACAGGAACTCAGCAGATGCCCTGGTGATACGCTAGTTAAGCTTAAGTGACTCAAGCAATGCTGACTTAGACTAAAAGAGGATCTACTCTAATAAGCGGGGTTATGTTTTTGTCCTTGGTAACATGATGGTGGCTTACACTGCAATCTGATAGGGTTTTATACTGTTCTCTTTTCAAGAGGCAAAATGTTCCCACAATGTATTTGGGGTTTTGGCAATTTGGTAGCAGGAGGCTACAGTGGTAGCTTCTGTGTGAAGATAATAGAAGCTGCTCTTGTGTCTGATAGAGCCGATGCCAGCTCCAAGATGGACCCTCCACTGACCAAGGCTGAGCCCATCAGTGGCAGTGGTAGAGCCTTTGGGATAACATAGTTAAGAAGGGGAACAAAGTTATATGTGGAAGCAATTACAGCCAGATAAGACAGGATTGAGAATATGTGAGAGAAACAACTCTGCAGACATCAAAGCCAGAGAATAAGGAGGGGGAGGAGGTGCTGCAGGCGCTGGAGCAGAGATTTCCCTGCAGCCTGTGGTGCAGACCATGGTGAGACAAGCTGTCCACCTGCAGCCCATGAAGGTCCATGGTGGAGCAGAGATCTACCTGCAGCCCATGGAGGTCCACAGTGGAGCAGAGATTCACCTGTAGCCCATGGAGGACACCATTCTGGCACAGTCCTGAAGGAGGCTGTGACCCCGTGGGAAGCCCGTGCTGGAGTAGGCTCCTGGCAGGACCTGTGGCCCTAAGGAGAGAGGAGCCAACACTGGAGCAGGTGTGCTGTCAGGAGGTGTGACCTCACAGGGGGCCTGCCCCAGAGCAGTCTGTTCCTGAGGGACTGCACCCTGTGGAAGGGGCACACATTGGAGCAGGGAAAGAGTGTGAGGAGTCCTCCTCCTGAGGAGGAAGGAGTGAGTGGCAGACACAACGTCTGATGAACTGACTGCAACCTCCACTCCCTGTCCCCCTGAGCTGGAGGGGGAGGAGGTAGAGAATTTGGGAGTAAAGTTGAGCCCAGGAAAAAGGGAGGGGTAGGGAAGATTTGCTTTTTATTTCCTCATTATCCTGATTATTTTGGTAATAAATTAAACTAATTTCCCCAAATTGAGTCTGTTTTACCCATGATGATAACTGCTGAGTGATCTCTCTCTGCCCTTATACCAACCCACGAGCCTTTTGTTATATTTTCTCTGCTCTGTCCAGCTGAGGAGGGGAGTGATAGATCAGCTTTGGTGAGCAGCTGCTGTCCAGCCAGGATCAATCACAAAGCACTCCCACACAAGCTCTAGAAAGACTGAGTTCATGACTGTGTTTTGGGAGACTTGTACCACTATGTGCCAGGCCTTCTTGACCTCTCAAAACAATGGCCCCGGGGAAAAATACTTTGCTTGCTTCCCTCTCCTTGTCTATTTATTCCTCAGTGGTCCTGTGGACTGAACCCTTGCCTATGTATAAGAGAAAAGGGTAAAGAGAAAGGAGCAATACTGGGAGCTCTGCTCCTGCTTGTTTGGGCAAGCAAATCTATAGACTGTGTAGTCAAGGGGCATGGAGATGACCTTCTCCTTGTTTTCTCTATCTAAACGTGGCATCCTAATGTGGGAGGTGCAGAAGCATTTCACATACTGTTCTCTGCTCTGTAACCATATAGAGCAAGACCACAGCATGTGTGGCAGGAAAAGATTATGCCACAGGAGGGGCTTAGTAGTTAGCTTTCCTCTATTATGAACTGTGATTAGCTCAACTAAGAAGAAGCAGGGCAAAAGGAGAGTTTCTGCATCCTACTGTGAAGAAGGTTATGTCTTCTGTTTTGGTATTGATGGCTACTAGACTGTAGCTATCTACATGGCCACAACCCTCCAGCAGAACTCCTTTCGGTCTATATCCTTTTCATTCAGAAAGTTTGAAAAGAGGTAAAAAATTATGTAGGATTCTGATCTGGATTCATTGGTTGAATATACACACTCAGCTTTCAAAGTGTACATACAAATAACTATGACACAGCCAAATATTTAAGACTTCTGCTTTTTTTTTTTTTTAGAAGATATCACCTCCCATTGCCTTGTTTACTTTACATAGTTTTGCACATATTTGAAATAACAGAATCAATTATACCTACCTAAGGTATGTAAAATAGATAAATAAACACAAAATCAATTCCCTTTTCCAAAAGCAACACAGAACAAGTGGTAACTTTCTAATTAACGTGAATCTCTAGTTTTAGAACATTTTAAGGCAGTACAGCCTGCAACAATTACTCTTACTTTAAAAACAGTCTGTTTTGCGATGAGTTATGTTCAGCCCTCAGAAGGGAAAAGTTAAAGAAACATTGTCATAATGATGTCCAAGATTAGCACGCTAATTAAAAAAATATAGTTCTCCTCTGGAGCGTCTATTTTTTTTTTCTCCAATTTTGAGCCTTCCATGAAGAACACAGACTGTTATGTATGTGTCCTCTTTAAAATTTCTTGTGTTACAGATGAATCAGTTAGTGAAGAATTCATGACTCATTCCTACAAAAAAATTTCTTGAACTTCCCCACCTATGTGGCCTGAAGATCATACCCCTACTGACTTATCTTCTAGCAAGCTTTCTCATTTCATCAGCAAGAAGTTCTTAATTTTCTTTTTGATATTGCATCCATGAGGATATGGTTGTTGAGTTATCACTGAAATGGAAGGCATGATCAAACTCAAGATTTCTAGCATTACAATCTGACTACAAGCACAGCTGGTATGTATCATGGGTAATCATATATTCTGTGGGACAAAGTATTACAGGTAGTTTTAGGCTGAAAACTAGTGTGTATCTTAGTAAGGGTATTAATTGCAGATGGTTGGATATTTGATTTCAAGTTTATGCTTTTCAAGCTTACTACAAATGAAATGGAAAAGGCAAAACTTTAAACAAGGCTATATAGTCAGTGATTTCCATTCAATGCTGAATCATATGGTTTACATCTACCAAGATGTAAATTTGGTTTATATCTCTGCTAGAGTGTTATGGCCATGTAGATAGCTACAGCCTAGTGGAAAACCCTCCATCAATACCAAAGGACAAATAATAGAAGTGGGCAGAAGGTTGAGTTTCTCAAAGAGCAGTATAGCAGAAGTCATTCCTTGCAATTAGATGGTTTGACAGAGCAAAGGTTTTAGTGAAAGAAGGCAGAAAAAAATTAAGGCTTGAATTTTGAGATCCTGAATCCCTGAAATTCCTGCTAGCATTTGTTGCCAGACTGAAGACCACAGGGATAGAAAGGGTACCTGCTATGTATAAACAGGGAAAATAGTATATGCAATTTTTCTAAAACTTATCTGTATGAACTGAGCCATAAAAATTAAGGGCAGGCAGGGAGTGGATTACTTGCACTCAGAGATCCTAAAGTGACTTGTCCAGCTTGTTGTTTGGTCATAATAGGTATTTTTCTCATTTCTTTAGTAATATGAGATATACAGTGTCCTTTGAAGGATCCTTTACTTACCCTTTTGTATTACTACTGCATCCCAGTTTTATTCAGCATATTAAAAGAATTGTCCAAGTGGTAACATATACATTTATATTTCCCTAAAATGTCTTCTCCTTCTTCTGCTTTGCCCCCCACTATTTCAACATTCATTCCCAATTTTTGTTCTATCACCAACAGATAGTTCTGCTGACTATTTTGTGAGTTCAGTACTATAGCAGCACTGGATGCAAGCTTCAGCAAATCTATTTAAAAGGTAAATAGGAAGTGTTTGGGGCATTTAAGGTAGTGCTCTGGGCAAAATTCAGAAAGCCTGCCTAAAAATAAGTAGTTTAGCCTTATACATGTATTGTCTTTATTTATACCTTTATAGTACAGGTTCAGAGTCCTAAACTTAACTTTCAAACAATCCAGTGCTTTCTGCCATTTGGGAGGTCTGCAAATATTTCCTTTTCTGGTGATCAGGATGGTTCAATATACTCAGAAAGATATTCCCCATTCTCTTTACTGGTTCACAGTGTTCCTATGTGGCCCATAATTTTTAAGCATAATGAATTCAAGAAAACCGTAGCATAATTTGATGATTTAAGAATCTTTATCCTTATAAAAAACCCCAGGATTTGGTGTCTTGGTACAATGTAAAATAGTTAAAATAGCAGAATTTCATTGAGTGTTTTCTCTTTGCAAAGGAAAAGATTTTTTTCCAACTCATAAGTTGCCTCAGTTGTTTTTCTAAACTTAAAACAGGTAACAAACCAGGTGTATCCTTTGTTATGACACTCCAGTGATTTTTATATTGAGAAGTCATGAGAAGATCTTTGTAAAAAAATGATCCATCCATGATAATGCCACCATCTGCTGTCCAAGAAGAATGGAGAGCAATGAAAACGAGAAATAGCAAAATCTCAAACTCACTTGGTGCAGACTCCCTCCAGCAATCCACAAATCTTATTCAGGCATCTGGCAGGGACTTGGCAGCTTTGCAGTTGTGGGAAGTGAAAAATGATCATAGTTAAACTTATGCCTAGCATTCTCTTATTTTTTACAAAGATGGTAAAATAGTAATGTGGTACCCATTTGCAGGCATGCATCTATGTATAGCTTCAGATGCCCCCCCCCAACAAAGCACTGAACTGCTGAGAACATCACGCATGGGCGAACTGTAGTGGTAGTGAATTTGGGTTTGATTAAACTCCCACTCTCTCAGCTGTTTCTGAAGATTTGGTGCACTGTATTCTTTTTCCTTCTCTGAATGGCACTGAGCATTACCAGTAGTAGCACCATGAGTTACTACTACCTCATACTATATTAAATATCCATTTACTTTTTTTCCTTGCAGTGACATAATAGAAGAATCTTTTTGATGAGATTAGTCTCTTCACTGCCTGTATATGCTCTGTTTACCTACAGCTGGGAATTTTTGGGACTGATTAGATGGTGTCTCTACCATACAACCTACATGAACCAAAGCCAGTGATTTCATGCCTGATAGGCATCATAGACAAGGCATCAGTGGAACTCTCGAAGCTGCCTATATAGAGGCATCGACACATGCAGCCAACTTTTCCTTTGTTTCTGTAATTTTAATCCCTATCTGAAAATTCCACTACATCTAAAATAGATAAGTAACAAGGGTCAAGGTCTTTTGCTCCTCATGCACTCCTTACAACTTCCCTCTCAGATCTGACAGGTTGTTGGCAGTTTTGTACCCATCTGTATTTTTCTTCTGCCTCCACCTCCTCACCATCTCTTCCTAAATGTGTTCTTTCTTTCACACTGCACAGTGTGAAACTAATGCAGACTGCTGGGTGGTAGGTCTAAACTAGCTTAGACATCTGTAATCTCACTTTCCTTCACTCACCCTTCAGTCCAGCCCTCTCTCTCCACCCTTCTTTACACCAGTTTTTCTTAGATGACAGGATAGTCCTTGGAAGAGAGGCTAGGCATTTGTAAGAGGTGTATTACACCAGGCATTGCCACACAATAGAAGGAAAGAATAGTAATATGAGGAAAAACTAGTAATATGACCTCATTATAAAGCATTTTAGCATAACTTGAATTTATGTAAAGCCCTCGGTAAAACAGTTAAAATTCTTCATCCTATTTGTTCTTGGTTCTGCATCCCCTCCTGTTCACTTGTTGTATACTCTGGTATGTTCACTTCTATTGGGCTATCAGGCAGCCTGCTTGCAGTACCTGCTTTTGCTGTCCAGAAACTAGCACATACAAATATTTAGGTCCAAACCCTACTATCAGCTTATTTACTAAGTGCTCTTGTTATTGTGCTAAAGTGTGCATGACTCCATGCCTAAATGAATGAAAGTGGTCGCCTTTAACAGGGGGCACTTGAATAATTTGTGGCCTTCTCAGTTCCGAGTGCCATTCGGCAGATGCATCCTGGAGCCCTTCATTCTCTTCGTCATTTCACAGTAAAGATACAAATGACCAAATCGGACATAACTTGTTTGGTGAAAATGGATGGTTGAGTTGTGTGTAAATATACCTTGCCTTGGTAGCAGGAGTGCTGTTTGCCTCTGGTTCAGATAGAACCATCTCCTCATGGAGAACTAAGGATCCATTACCTAAACCCACTGTGCAGGTCTATTCAAACACTTGCTAATACAAGTTACAGCTTCTCAAGTTCTTCTAGAGATGCGTCTCGTCCCTTCTGAGAGAGCGTGCATCTACTTTGTTCTTATCAGAAATATGTGCTGCATCAGAGTATTCAGAACAGAAAGCAGCTTTTCAGAATGCAACCCTTTTCTCGAAGAACAGGAAATGGAGCTTCCAAATAATGGAAGCTTTAATTTTCTAGCTGTCTTGGGTGGATTTAGCCCCTGACTTAACAGTGAAATGACAAGAGGTTTCCCTTGTATAGCAATGCACGATGTACTTACAGAGCTAACAGAACATAACTCTGCAGACAAATAGAGAAACTCAGTATGTTTTTCCACTTTTTCTCCCACATTTTTTCCACAAGTGGTGTCTCCAGGAGGCTTGGACACACGTGTGAGGAGGGAGGCAGTGCCCCTTTCCCCCGACAGGGTGCGCCAAAGAACTGCTCTTCACCCGCCTCAACGGCCTCACACTTGAACTTGGGCTTTTTATGTTACACACCTGAAAGTTTAGTATTAGACCCGTTACTCAGTGGGTGGGATTGTGATCTTTCTTTTATGTTACCCTGGTGGCTTGATGGTCTTGCCTGTGCAAAGCTGGCTACCTTATAGCAGCTATTGCTGGGTAATTTTGTCTTGGGCAATGGCCCAGACCCTTCAAAAGCTTGTGTCTCCTGCCTCATGCAATTGCTTGTTCTGTTTCATGCAAATATTTATGTAATCCTATTCATCTATAATGTTATACTGATTAATGTGAGTGTCCCTTCCCTTTCCTAAAAATAGCATAGTTAAATCTGTAGACTTTGATTCATTAACTCTTATGTCTGTGTTTCAACATGATGGCAGTGTTCTCATTTTTCTTTTCAATGGTGTGATGAAGTGGTCACCCTTCTTGATTTCACTTTCTCTTTACACAAGTGCTTTATTGTTCACACAGAACTCTTATTTATAGACACCTCTAACTGGTAACCTGTATTTCTACAGTGACTGCAGCACAGTGATATTGTTTCTATGCTTTGGCAAAGGACACAGCTTTTCCAAAATAATAGAATATTTTTAGCTGGCCTACGTTCATGATCTGATGCCACACAGAACACAGTAATTAAGTATTTAATGCTTTTATGCACTAAATTAAACTAACTAGCAAATCTAGCTTTAAGAGAGAATTTTCACTGAGGGTGTGTTACCAAGACAGTACCTGTAAGGTAGGGGAAAATGTAATCAAAGGACACGGCAGGTAACAAAGATATGGCACTATGGAATTATATTTGGTTCTACATTCTATAAGTGACACATTGCTATTTTGAGCTAAACAGCTGTTCTCTCATTTTTATTTATTCAAGTTACTAAATTTTTTTAAAGGAGAAACTAATTCCACTAATGCAACCATAACCAGCCTACATTCATGTTACCAGGAGGGCTTGGTGCACAGACTACTAAGATGTGAGCTCAAATAGAGGCATAAGCATCAGCTTCAGGGTGGAGCAATCCATACAAATTTTTTCCCACTTGCCAAGAGATTGCACACTGCAAGGCAGCAGTGGTGTGCTGTATTTTGTGAACTTCGGCCTCTCTTTCTTTCTTTCTCCAAGAAGTCATCTGTTGCTGTTTCCAGAATGGCAGTATAGGCTCCAAAGTGCCACTAAATTTGAACAGTCAGCTGGAAAAGGTGAAAACTGAACTTCCTGTCTTCTCCTCTTCATGACCCAAAATGTTATCTGATTTACCAAGGCAGAGATTCCTTCAGTAATCAGATTTACTTATGTATTATTTACTGAGAGTGTCATGTACACTCATAAGCTGTGATCATCAAGTATGTTTCTCCTCCTAGCGTACTTCTCCCTCTTCTCCCAGTTTGGCTCACTAAGTGTTTTTTAAGAATAACAATGGATATTTACTGCACAAGAAATACTCTTAGATAATACACAAACTGCCAAACCCCATTATTTTCTGTATTCGAAATTCAAACTGTTAAGAAAAACTTCATTTCAATAGAAAATTAATTTTGTTACAATAAGAAAATATTTACATGAAGAGATAATTATTAAATTATTATAGTGAGGCTCTCAACTATCTCTTATGTCTGCTTTTCTGGTTTGAAATAGTTGAATTAGTAACATTTCCAAGTCTGAATCTTTCTCATTGATGTTGGAGAGTTTCCTATACCGTGTATCTACATATGATACTTATCTGATGAATCAAGGTATGTGACATGTACCATTGACCTTGCAGGATCTTACTCTTTTTGTCAACTAATCTGTTTTGTGGAATGTTTCCTAACAATTTCCCCACCTGAATAGTTTAAGATGAAATATAAGTTTTGCCAGGATGGATTCTTAGCAAACACTAACAGACCGAACATTTAGCCTTTTCCTTTTTTGTAAGATCAAATATTTTCTGCAACTAGCTGCCATCATTCTATCTAGGCTGGTAACTAATAGTTTTATGTGTTGTGCTATAAATACAGAGTTCAATGTTGAGAGTTCATGAGGGAAAGATGGGGGAAATACAGCTCTTTTGAATATTCTTAGGATTTCCAACTTTTAATGCAGGCAGAATCACTATTTCAAAGTAAGTAGTTGTATGCAGTGTATAATTCATGTTTTTCCCCCTTGAAAATTCTATTTTATTCTAGTCATAGCTGTGCATTTTTTGAATAATTTAAAAGCAGAATGTTTAAGAATGAATGTGAGAATCTCCTCACACTAACTGAGAAAAGGCTACTACTAGCCTGAGTTTAGGCCTTCATGTGCTAATATTTGCCTTTCTCATAAACTGCTAGAATACGCAGTTTTGTTATCATTAGCAGAGATTTTCTTCAGATCTTTCAGGACAAAGTTCTTTTTTTGATGTTATTCTCGAGCTTTTAAGTAGTTTGACATGTTCTATGTAAAAACAGCACAATCTTCTGAAGTTGCCAAATTAGTGAGATTAATGAGCTCCCATTTTTAACTATTAATGGCTTCCTATATAAAAGAATTATACTTACTGCCATCACAGATTGTTCATGTTTGAAACTACAGGTTATCAACTTATTATTGTAGCTGTTTCCAGTTTTAGTCTCCTGCTATTCTGATACAGGGCAACTCTCGAACGTTCTTTATCTGCCAAAATGTATGTGTCTTGTTCAGACCAGATCTTTTTATTGAAATTGGATTATGTAATAAGAATTCATGAGTGTTAAGAAATAGAACTCAATTCTGTTTATGTTATGATATGTATAGGGAAGAAAAACCTCCTTCCTGCCAGTGGTTTGGCAGGATAGCAGATACAGGCTTTCTTAGACAAAGATCAAATGAAGTAAATAGTTTCCATTTCTATGTGTACATACAGGTATTATCTTGCAAGATTTGAAAGATACTGACAGAAGACAGATGATGGAATGACTTTCTTCTTTTGCCTGAGCAAAAAAAAATTGCATTGCTGCTCTGCTGTGCAAATAAATCACTATCTCAAGTCCTGAGTGGTGTAAAAGCACAGAAGTGGCTTGAAACAACTCATCAGTGACATCCAAATAGTCCTGTTTGTAAATATAACTCACAAATCTAGAATAAACAGAAAGTCAACTGTTTTCAGTGTTGCAGGACTGCACCAAAACTGGTTTTTAAAGATATCAAGTATGATTTAAAGTGATTCCATAAGGTTAAACAACTTGGATCTCTCCCTGTCATATGTGCAAATTCAGAATCCTTTGAATGGTGTTGCTACTGCAGTGCAAGTAAAATGACAGTCATACTCTATCATATGTAAATATTAAACTGAACAGATTTTAAATTCCCATTGGCTGGGAAATGGAGTAATTCCATAACCTCAGTGAAGTTATTTTGATTTTATAGTAACATAGTATAGCCCTTGGTCTCTTATCTTCTCTAATGTATGTTGTGTGGAATTTTAATGTTGCTCAGGAATTAACAGACGTATCAATCATACTTTAGCAAAGCCTCAAAATACTTTCTAGTCATATGGATTATCACGAAAATACTGAAAATGTAAAAGGACACGCAATTCTGATTTTAATAGTTAGCTGCATGGCTGTGCTCATATATGAAGAATCTGTTTTGAAAAGTGACATAGGAATTGAAACAAAATATAATTTAAAATTGTAGAATTTATAATGATATGTTTCACATAGGCACTGTGTAAATAAGGATGTAGATTGAAAATTTTTTGTTAAGTGATTATAATGTAAGTTTGAATACCTTAGATGCCAGTGACCAAAGCTGAACTTCTAAATGGGGTCCAAACTGTCTCTGATGGAGCAGCCAAAATTGCCAGTAGTTTCTATACATCCTGGCTGCTATGAACCTGAGGTGATATCAAAGGGATGTGAAATTACTTAAAATAATTTTGCATTAGATTGTGTGTCAAAGCTGAGTATTGTCTGTTTGAACATCTATGCTGTCTACTTACAGCACATGTAAGGAAAACATAAATGTAATAATTTAATGTGTGTTGCTTCTATCAGCATCAGTGAGTCATCTTGTTTCCTTACTTTCTACTAAAGTGTAATATAGAGGTTGTTTGCACTACTCTGCCACGAAATAGTACAAATGTTCTTTTAGGTACATTGTTTAACATATATATCATAGGTAAGAAGGGGCCATTTTGTTTGCACAACTTGTGTTAGAAAATAGATTTAAAAATATCTGTGGCTCCAGTTATGTAGATATGGTAGTGGATACTTTCCCAATTATCTTTATATAATTAGAAGTGAATTAGTCTCTTTAAAATTGCTTCAGTTGTTTCATTGATTGTTTAATGTTTGCTTGTGTCTCTTTTTTTGCTTGTAACTGTGAATTATAGAACTCTTACAGATACCTATCTGGTACATGTTAAGCTCTTCAACCACTCTTCCTGCTTAGACAAAATTCACAAAGGGAGTAGAATGTTTAAATTTCTGTTTTATGTCTCTATTCTTCTTCAATGACACTTGAAGTTCTGTTAATGTATTTTTATCTCCAAAAGTCAAGAAGCTCTCTAAGTGTTCCTACAGCTTCCTGTCTACAAAATCATACAGATAGAAAAGCACTGCCAGAAAGGCTGGGCCTCAGATACGGTATGTTTATAATTTAATAGGGAATGTCCTGCTTAAGTTGCAATATTTTCAGTCCTTGTGCAGGGAATCACCTGCAGGACTTCTTACCACAGGCAGCTGTGAAACAGTCATTCCCTTATTCTTCTGGTTTGGGAAAGGGTTTCGGAAGGGTTTCCATGACTGCTTTTGAAGCTCAGGAGCTGCCTATATGCTGGCTCATGACATATCTCATCAGATCTCCTTTTCTCCCTGCTGTGCTAGCCTGCTTTGGCATGGCCACACTCAGTAGCACTCAGGGCATCCCAAATACCCCGGACCTCCTTCTGTGCCTCTGTCTACAGGCAACAGGAGCCTGTGCTGGGGCCATGCAGTGCACCAGGACGGGTTATTTCCAGCAGTGGGAAAAACACTATTGAAACATCTTCACTTCTGTTCCTGGCCTCTCGTATATTTATTTCTCAAAATGCTGGTTTTCAATCTAACAAGATTTGTTGTTTGCCTGTCAATACTAACATGCTGGTTACTTAAACATCATTGAGAAAAACCGTTTTGAGCTGCATCCCCTTGGTGCAAATTAGATTAACTAGAGATTGACACCTGTGAACACTTGAATGGTATATAGTACCTGTGCTTCAGTGTCATTAAAACTAATGGATCTATATACGGCATGTCTTTATTTTCAGTCACCGCTGTCTTTATTCTGTGTGCATAATAATTAGTTTTCGGAATTTGCAGTGTACATCCCCAGGCCATTTTCTGGATATTTATGCAATTAGTTTAATGAACTTTGCTTAGGAGTTGCTATGTGATTAACAGTCATTACCTTCTTGGATTGCCAGTTTTACAAATTACCTAGAGATTTCATGTTCCGCAATTAAGTTTTCTTATTCGCAGCATAAAGCCAAAACATTTTTGTGGTAAACTCGCCCAGCTAACGAACAACAAAGGCATGCTGGTTGTGATTGTGCTCCAGGGGTGATCCACTGAGATCCTCCGTCCCTGTCAGGAGCTGCCAGAACAAGCGATGCCAACGGAGCTGTGCGCGGTTTCCCGGGGTTCGTCACCAGCACGTTCCTCACTGGGGCGGGCTGGGTGAATGGATCAACAGAGGGAGGGAACACGCCGGGTCTCGATCTGCAGGGAGCTCTCCGTGCGCCCGGTGCCCGGCGCGACCGCGGGTTTCCCGCAGCGGGAAGGAGCGGGAGATTTCCCGGGACCCGGGGCACTGCCCCTCCCGCCGGGGGCGGGCGCGCTGTCTCCGCCGACACGGGCGGGTGCCGAGCCGGCCCAGTCCGCAGGGGTCAGGCTGGAAACGAGCGCTCCCGGGGCGGGAAGGAGGGGATAAGCCGGGGCGGGGGCAGCCAGCGGGGATCGGCGCCGGCGGCGTGGCCGCGGCCGGGCCCGTCCTTCGCCGCTCGGCGGTCACCGCCCCGGGCCGGACTGCAGCGGGCTCGCCGCCTCCCCCGCCCCGCCGGCGGAGCGAACCACCGAGTCTCTCCGAGGAGGTGAGGCACCTGTCACCCGCGGGCGGCGGCGGCGGGCGGCGGCCCCGCGGCGGGCGACGGCGGCGGCTCGGGGCGCGTCCCGCGGGGGGGGGGGCGCGGCGGCCGCGCCAGGGCGGCGGGGCGGGCGGCGGCGGGAGCGCGGCTGCGGCGGGCGCGGCGCCTCAGCCTCCCCCGCGCCGCCGCCGCGGGTGTGCGCGCGGAGCCGTGTCCGTGCCCCGCTGCCGCCGCCGCCGCCGCCGCTGCCTGCAATGGCGTTGAGGCGACGCGGCGGCGGCTGCTGCCTCCTGTCAGGCGGGCGGCGGCAGCGGCCGCTCTGCGCAGAGGAGGCGCGGGGGCAACGCTGAGCCGGGCGGTCGGGGGAGCCCGTCGCGGCTGTAGGCTGGGTAAGGCGGGGTGCGCGCTCGGAGGGAGAGGCGCCGGGCTCCGTGAGGAGCAGCCCTGGCACCGGGCTTTTGTTCCACGGGGGCGGCGGGCGGCTGCCGGGGCACTGCCCCGCCGCAAGGTGCTGCCGCCCGCGGCTCCTGCCCGGCGGCGCGGCACGGCTGCCCGGGGAGGAGCCGCCGCGGGGGCTCCAGCGCTGTCCGCTCGGGTTAAGTTTATTGCCTTCTGCGAGAGCGGCGGGTCTCGCCGAGAGCCGCTGCCGCGTGGCCTTTCCAGTCGCCCGTGGCGACCGGCGGGAGCAGGGCGCGGTGGCTCCGGGCGGTGGTGCCGGCACCGTGTGTGCAGCGGGCAGAGCGAGGCGTCCCCGCCTCGGGGGGAGCGGCGGCGGCGCGGCAGGGCGAGGGCTGGGGAGGAGGGACGGAAGGGAAGAGAAGGGAGAGGGTTTGGCTCTGGGTGACCGCCGTGCTGCCCTTCGCTGGGCTGCGGGGACCGGGAACGAGCCCCTCGGGCCGGGGACGGGAGCGGGTCCAGCCCCTGGCTCCGTTTCTGCGTCTCCGCGTTGGGCACCTCCAGGCTCTTCCAGGTGTTAAAGCCGCTGCCCGTGACAAGGGGCAACTTTCTCTAACGGGATTTCACTTTCTTTACCATGTCAGCTGAGGATGTTAACTTTGGGTGCATTTTTTTGAATTCCCTCGAGCTGATGTTTAACTTGCCTTTCTAAGCATATTACCTTTGATTGTATTTCTGCCATTATGTTTCTATGAGAGAGGAAAGATTGTCTTGCAGTGGCTCGCATTTCGTGTCACATTGCCTTTCCTTTGCGTGCGTATTTGTGCCATGGTACTTGTGAATGATAAGATGTGATAATCTGTTCTTTCACTATGGAATGATGTTATAGATTGTAAATTTTTCAAAAGTCAATTTGAAAAAGTTTGTAATGATAAGTTTTCATGTGTCTGCACAGGTTGGGTTTTTGGGGTTTTTTTAGTATTTTTTTGTATACGTCTCAAATAACAGTAGGTGGAAATTGTGACATTTAAAGTAACAGTACCTGACATGGTTCAGAAAACCCTCCTTTCTATTGCAGGTTGAATCAGCCCTTGTTCTTGAGTCCTTGGTCGTGCTGCTTTGTCGGAATTGGCTGCATGTGTTTAGATATTTGCCTCCAGATCTTCTGTCGAGTATGTTCCTGCTGAAGAGCAGTGGCCTCTGAGGAAAAACACTCCTCAAGCGGAATCTCAGCTGTGACAAACTACTGAGAGTGGTGCCAGAGAAACTATGCAAGCAGGTTTTGTGGTCCTGGAGTAAACATGATGAAAACAGAGTCTTCAGGAGAAAGATCAACCCTCCGAAGTGCCTCTCCTCACAGAAATGCTTACAGAACTGAGTTCCAGGCGCTGAAAAGCACCTTTGACAAACCGAAATCAGATGGAGACCAAAAAGCGAAAGAGGAAGGAGAGGCCTCGCAGAGCAGGGGAAGGAAATACGGCTCAAATGTCAATCGGATCAAGAACTTATTTATGCAGATGGGCATGGAGCCCACTGAAAGTGCTGGAGTTGCCCCTAAAACCAGGGGGAAGGGTGGCCCTGCATCACCTCAAAGACGAATT